AGGCTCGGGTACAATGGGGTCCTCTGTGCCGATGGCTGCTAGAAGAAAGGCTGAGCAGGGGATGGAGTGGGGAAGGGTCTGAGGAAATCAGATGGTGGGGAAGGGAAGACACAAAGAAAGAGGGAGGCATACCATGATGGCACTGCTGGCCCCTGTGGACAGGAAGATGTTGTCAGGGTCAGAAGCAATGCCCCCGTCCCGATGCTCAGTGTACCTTGCCACATCTTCTCGAATCATCTGGATGCCAGTGCTGGCGCTGTAAGACCCTAAGCCAGGGTGGGGATGGGGAGTTAAGATGGGTATGGGTCAGAAAGAAGGGCATGGGGTCTGTGTGCAGAGCCACACTCCCTTAAATCATAGCGTCCCTGAGGGCAGGACCATGGCCCCCTTCAGAACCAGAGTGTCTTACCGTCAAAGCTGCAAGGGGCCTCAGAAGTCATCCCATCCAACCCCTTCATTTTACAGATGAAGACATTCAGGCCCAGAGAGGTGAAGTGATTTGTCCCAGGTCACACAGGTAAGAACCAGCAGAGCTAAGATTCCAAACCAGATTCTTCTGCTACAAATCCAGTGACAGGCTGCTTGAGGGGGCAAGTGTGAGAACAGGCAGAGAAGGATCTCACCTGTGCTGTGACCCTCACAGGCCTGCAAGATTCTCATTGCCCGTTTCTTGGCATCTTCTGGGAAGGATGGGCTGCTCAGGAGATCTGGGTACTGGCAGAGGGCCAAGACCTGAGAGTTGTGTGTGTGTGAGAGAGGAGAGAATGGCACAAAGTGAGGGCCCATGGTGTCCCCCGAGGGAAAGAAGGAACAGGTACTATACTGGACTGGGGCGGTGGGGCAAAGCTTCTCACCTGACGCATAAAAGTGATTGGCTTCTGACCCATAGCATGGGCATCTCCTTTATAGGCATGGATAATCTCTGTGAAAGGCTTCTTCACACCCTGTAGAGAGAGAAAGGATGGGGGCAGCTAGGTGACGCAGTGGATAGAGCACCAACCATGGATTCAGGAGGACCTGAGTTCAAATCCAGCCTCAGACACATAACACTCACTAGCTGTGTGACCTTGGGCAAGGCACTTAACCCCATTGCCTAGCTAAAAAAAAAAAAAGAGAAAGAGAGAGAGAGGAAGAGAGAGAGAGAGAGGATGAGGGCCCTCCCTCTACCCCTCATTCTTCTCCTTTCCCAGCTGTCTGGGCTCCCAGAACCAAATAACCCTGATGGGGAAGGGGGCTGGCCTCACCCAGTGCCTGCCCCATTCTGTCTAGACAAGCTATAGAGACCCTGGAAAGGGGTGGGAGAGCACAAGATGAATTCCTTACTCATGCAGCCTCTCCCCTACCACCCCACAGCTGTACTGAGGGAGGCAGGGGTGAAGGTAAGGGGACTAGAGAAGGCAATGGGCAGGAGGGTCTTAGAGAGGTGCCCCTCATAGCTGCAACCCACAATTGGGAAGGGTACTGAGACAGTTTGGGTCCACCTTCTCCTCCTGCCCACAGTCCACAGCTGCCTAGAGAGAGAGCCCTGGTCTTGTAGAGGACAGGATACCTGAGGCAATGCTGGCTGAACCCTCCTTACCCCTCTATTATATGTCTTCTCTAATCCTATAACTCAAGGTCTTGTATTCCTGGAGTAATCTCAATTCCAGAAAGAAAAATCTCAAGCATGGGAACATGGAGCCCCTGACCCAGGGCATGTGTAAAGGTTGGCATGGAGGGTATGTAGCTGTGGGACAGGTAGACTGATGGGGGGCAGTGTGTCCCTGTGGACAGAGAACCCTAAGAAATAGGTATGGCCAGGGGTGAGAGAAGTTGGATTGGGAATAAGAGGTTGGGCAGGGCTAAGCACATAGTAGGTGCTTCACCAATCCATTCAGGGGGCTGGAGGGAGTTAAGTGGAAGGAAGATGGTAAAGTCATTGGGAGAATTAGTTCTTTGCCCAAGGAGAGATGACAACTTCGGACTGAGCAGGTGTCTGGGAAGGGGGTGAATGGGGTGAGAAGAACCCAGGACAGTACCTGCTGAAGCTCTCTCTCCAGCTCCATAGCTCGCAGCACAATGGACCCGAGAATAACATACTCGGTGTTTTTCACAGATTGGTTCATGGTGTCCAAGGTCAGCACCTTGTCCCGAATCCCATTCATGACCTGTTGCTTCATGTTCTTGTTTGCCATGGTCCTACATGGGGGAACATATGAAGCCTAGTCCGAGTTCCCTACCCCATGCTAGCATCCCATACAGCAACCTCTCATGACAGGGGTAAGGCAACTTGGTTCTGGGAGGGCCCAAAGAGAGGGAGGGACGGACAGAGGAAGAGCACTGAAGGGGGGAGGACAGGAAAGGGGAGTAGGAGGGAGAAGAAGAGGAGGAAGGGGTACAGGAGGGCACCACGTAAGGGTATTAGGCAAGCAGGAAAGGCAGGAAAGAGAGAGGAGAAAGTATAGGAGAAAGTCAGAGGGGAAGGAGGAAAAATGGAGTTTAGCGCCCAAGAAGGGAGAGCAGGCAAGGAAGAAGGGGGTTAGAGAGGGAGGTAAGGTGAGGTGAAGTAAGGAGGAATAGATCAGAGACCAGGGAAGAGCAGGACATGTGGGAAAGAAGGGTTAGGAGAAGAGGGGATGAAGAAGGGGAAGGGTATGAAGGGGGGAAAGAGAAAGGACAAGGAGGAGGGGTCGGAAGCAAAAGAGGTGAGACATCTGGGAAGGGAATAGGAAGGTGGTGAGGGAAGGAAGCTCTGCCCCTGGATGGGGTAGGGGAGGGAGGGAAGGTAGAGGCGGAGCTTAGGGCAGGACTCCTGTCACTGCCAGGAGCAGGGAGACAGTCACATAGCTGAGGCGAGAAGGGGAGAGAGAAACCCAGACAGCCACAGGAGAGACAGAGATAGATGGGGAAGAGAAAGATGAGAGAGGTGAGGGACCAAACAGCTGAGGCTTGGGGATGAGGAAGCCCCT